ATCATCACCTATAATGAATACAGATAATACAGCAAATACCAGCACTTCCCAACCTACTAGTGAATTAGTCGACCTCATGTCAACACCACTTGTCGATTCGTCCCAGATTGACAGTAACACCAAGGCTTACATCGATGTGGCATGCCAATCCTTGGCAAACTCGATCGTTGCATCGATCAAATCATACCTTGACCAACATACAGTGACCCAAAATGAATTAATCAATAGACTAAACCAACACATCGACATATGTTTCAACTATATTCAACAAGACAAATCCCAGTAACAATATATGTTTCAACCATATTCAACAAGACAAACCCCAGTAACAATATTTCGAGCTACAACAAGACGAACCCACCACAACAAAACATACACACGAATCCAGCACAACATCATCCCAACAACAACCTTTCGACCACCAACAAGGAACTTCATTATCTACAAGACACAACCACAAGTTTAACCTGCCACAACCCTACAACAGACAAAACAAACTGACCAAAGCACAGCCGTGCAGCAAGGTAATTGTCCACTAACTCCTCTCCTCAACAACCTCATCATCAACTCCCCAATCGCATAGCCCAGCGCAAACACAACCATTACCCTCCGAGCACTCAGCACATTGCGCACTAGAGCAACTGCACGAAAATTCTCTTCCTTTGAATACAACAACGCCAACCTCCCCCTAGTTTCCGGCTTCACTAATGCCCAGGCCACCCACATTGAGAGAATCAGACTGTGGTGGATCCTCAACTAGTCCGACGGTCAGAAAGCATTAGAGATACTGCCCAATAAACCGCACTTACTACCATACCTAGGCTATCGCAGTCGGTAATTTCGTTGACCTTGTCGAGTTCAGTTACAAAACCCTGAAGGCAAACATGAAGTACAACGAAGAGGAGCAAACATTACAAACTACCGAGGGCGGTGTCATAGCCATCAGAAAACACAATAGGTCCCACAGGTTCAATGACATCTCTGAATGGCTCCTGGCTTTTAGGGCCTACATAGAGGCCATCCTTATTATTTACAATGATAGGGAAAAAGAGCTAAATGCTTACCAAGACCATGTTAACATGTTATGCGTCAAGCACGAATTTTTGGCTGTTGCAGCTTACGACGAGAATCGCAGACTCCACCTCACAACCAACCGCGACTCTACCTTATTCGACAGAGACATTGAAGCCGAAGGTGAAAACCTTGACATCACCACAACCAAAAAACAGCACAGTACCTTCACCTTTCACGGTTCCAAATCTGACATCACATGGCATAACGGTAGGCAGATTTGCCTCAACTAAAACTGGAAAAACTGCTCTGAGAAAGCCAACTGTAAGCGTGTCCACGTCTGTTTGACGTGCAGAAGATCAGGACACCCAGAACATCGCTGCTACTACAATAAATCCACTACTCCTAGACAACCCGACTCCTGGAACCAGGAATCAACCAGATAAGTCAACCAAAAAAAATAAAAATAAAAATAAAAAAAATAAAAAATAAAATCGTTCCGTTTCAGTATATACATAGAATAACAAGAATAATAACACTAACAAGAAACAATGCACACTTAAAAAAAAAAAAAAAAAAAAAAGTAATAATAATAATAAAAATAATAATAATAATAACAAAAATAAAAATAAGTAAAAAAAAGAAAGAAGAAAAAAAAAAAAAAAAAA